AGTACTCTTAACCACTGCCATCTCTCCAGCCCCAGAAGCTGTGTTTTCAGTTGGTTCCAAGAAAATGCTGAAGTCAGTGGCCTAGCACCCTCAGACATTCATTGAATGGCTCAGCAACTCAATGGAAATGGTGGCTTGGAAGGAGTATGGGTGTCAGGGAGATGGGAAGGTGTCTCCCTAAGATGTTGGAGTCAGGGAGAGGTACAGGCTGAGTCCTCAACACTTCAGTGAGCAGCTCTAATGTTCAGGTTTTGCTGTGAACCAAAGAGGCAAGGATGACATGAAACTTTAGGACTGGCAATTGGGAGAGGAAGTAATTGGCAGAAAAACTGGTTTCTGGGCTCCTCTGAGCTGAGCTGTTGACGTCAATGTGGAATACACTGCATCTAACCCTCTAATGGACTAGTCAAAGGGGCATGTCCAAAGCAAAGTTGGGCTTCATGGGTAGAGTGTCACTTGGATGTGGCTGTCCTAGTTACTTTCTACTGCCAGGATAAAACACTGACCAAAAACAATGTTGGGAGGAAAGGGTTTATTTTATCTTACTCTTACAGTTCACCATGGAGGAAAACCAGGGAAGGAGTTCAGGGCAGGACTGGAACGACATGGAGATACACTCCCTTGCTCCTCTGGTCTGTGTGCAGCCTGCTTTCTTATACAACTCAGGACCACGTACCCAAGGATGGCACCACCCAGAATGATCCGGGTCCTCCCACATCACTCAGCACTCTTAACTGCTGAGACGTCTCTCTAACCACAGGGTTTTTTTGTTATTGTTTTGATAAGGGCAAGGACTGCCCCCCAGTAGACTCTACTTCATGACACCTAGCTTGGAGACAAAAAGCTCCTGCAAAGGCTTTCCTGAGTTTTTCTACCTGGATGTCCACTAACCGTGGGGATTGTCACAAGGTATCAAGGGCACTGTCCTCAGGAGGGATCCCAACAGGCAATGGTTTAAACAAGTTGGGAGACTTTCATGCTTATGTCAAATGGGAAATAAGCAGCCTAGAGTAGGTGTGACCAGTCCCCAGCTCTTCTGTTCTGCACCCCTGTCATCCTGGCCTCCTCCTTATAGATCAAGCTAGATGGCTACCAGTCTTGCCAGCAGGAAGAGGAAGGTACAGATCCCTTTCCTCTCTGTCTGCACATGTCACTAAGTCACATCTCAGTAACCACACATAGTTCCAAGTTAATATCAATCTGCAAAGGAAGCTGGGAAGTGGAGCTTCTATTCTGCGTGGTAAGTTGGTGAACAAGGTGTTTTGGGAGACAGTGATTCTACCAGCCTCCTGTTCTCGTTTGTGACCACATCCTGGAACACTGTCATTCCTGGTGCCTTTCCCACAGTGCTTATCTTTAGCCCCACTCTTACTGCTTTAAACCCAGTAACTTAAAAGAGCCTCCCAACTGACCCCCTTGCTTCCAGTGTCACCTTCTGATCAGGTGGTCCCAGTGTTTAGAAATTCTTCAATGGCTCCCACTACCTATAGCAATGTTTTGTCTTTTCCAGTACTGGGGATTGAACCCAAGGCCTCACACAGGCAAGTGCTCTACCACTCAGTTACATCCCCAGCCTAGCAGTGGGATTTACATTTATTTATTTATTAATATACATTAAAGATGCTATTTATTTTTGTTTTATGTATGTTTTGCCTGCATGTAAGTGCACCATGTGTGTGCAGTGCCTACAGAGTCCATAAGTCCATAAGAGGGTGTTGGATCCCCTGGAACAGAAGTCATAGATGGTTGTGAGCCACCATGTGGGTGCTGGGAAAGGAAAGTGGGTCTTCTGCAAGAAGAGAAAGTGCTCTTAACTGCTGAGTCATGTTTCCAGCCCCTGTTTTGTTTTTTAAAAACTTTATATGCATGAGTGTTCTGCAAGAATGTATTCATGTGCACTACATGCATGTAATGCCCATGGAGGCCAGAGAACTAGAGTTACAGATGGCTGTAAGCTGCCACATGGATGTTGGGAACCGAACTCGAGTCCTTTACAAGAGCAGCAAGTACATCTACTCTGGGTAGCTGAGCCATCTCTCCAGCTCTTAAAAAAAAAAAAAATCTTTTTAAATTACATTAAGAATTGCCAGGTTTGGTGGCTCACGCCTTTAATCCCAGCACTTGGGAGGCAGAGGCAGGAGGATCTCTGTGAGCTCAAGGCCAGCCTGGTCTATGGTATGTAGTGAGTTCCAGGTCAGCTGGAGCTACAGGGAGACCCTGGCTCAAAAAAAAAGGAAAAAAAAATACATTAAGAATTACACTTAGAGCTGGGTGTGGTGGTGCATGCCTTTAGTCCCAGCACTTGGGAGGCAGAGGCAGGAGGATCTCTGTGAGTTCAAGGCCAGCCTGGTCTACATAGTGAGTTCCAGGACAGCTGGGGCTACAGGGAGACCCTGTCTCAAAAAGACCAAAAAAAAAAAAAAGTATTGAACTTAGTTTGTGTGCACGCACATATGTGCCATAGCCTGCATGGGGGTCAGAGGACAACTTTCTAGAGTTGGTTCTGACCTTCTACCATGTGGGGTCCTGGGGATTGAACTTAGGTCCTTGGGCTTGGTAGCAAGTTCCTTTACTCACTGAGCCATTGCACTACCCCCCCAACAGCATTTAAAAAAATATTTTATTTCTTTTTATTTTATGTGTATGAGTATATTGCCTCCATGTATGTGAGTGCACCCGTGTTGTGCAGTGCCGTGGAGGTCAGAAGAGGGCTTCGGATTCCCCTGGAACTGGAATTAAGGACAGTTCATAACCACCATGTGGGTGCTGGGAATCGAACCTGGGTCCTCTGCAAGAGCAGTCAGTGCTCTTAACCGCTGAGCCATCTCTCCAGCCCCAAGAGTGTTTTTAAGTGCAGATTTCTGACTCCCTGGACTTAGCATGCACATGAGTTTTTCTGGAGAGCTTTGAATTCTCAAAGTGGCCTGTGAGACCCTTGAAGTTTTAGGTTTGAGTTTAAATCTCTAATACCAAGGTACAATAAACTGTCACTCATGTCTGACTCTCTCCCACATCTTTTCCCATGGGCCTGAAAGTGAATTCACCTGAAATCCTATTGCCTAGTGGGCCCAGGTTTTTCCATACATATCTTCAGCCCCACTACTCTATCAAGAATACCCTGGCAAGCTGTTATACATCCTGATGACTTACCTCAAAAGCTACCTCCTTCATGAGGCTTCCTCTGTGGCTGAGACTCTCCATAGCATTGTTTCATGGTCTGGACTGGGAAGTAGTATGGAACTTTAAAGGGTGGAGCCTAGTGGGAGGCCCTTCTGTCAACTGGTGGCTGGTATCTCCTGGGACCCTGATCAGTTATCACAAGAGACCTGTTATAAAAACCCGAGCTGGGCCTCTTTAGCTTCCTATGTCCAGCTGTGACCTGTTCTCACAGACATGCTTCTGCCATCTGTCTTGGGGACCCTCACAAGACCCTGCATCAGTGATTGGGCCTTCAGCCTCTAAAACCGTGAGCTAAACAAACCTGTTTTTCTTCACAAGTATCCTTCCTTGGGTATTTTGTCATAGTGACAAAAAAACTGGCCAATATAGACCTGCACTGCAAATTCCCAAGAATCAAGAGCAGAGAAATGCAAAGAAATTTTCAGACAGATTGAGAGGCAGCATTTTAATACATGAACAATAAAGGATGGCGCTCTGCTACTCTGGAAAGTGTGTTTGTGGCCCGGGGAAAGCATCACCATATCCTCTGGGCCTGATTAGGAACACAGGCTCATTCCAGATCTACTGTGTAACAAGATCCCTGGGGACTGAATACACATTAACGTTTGCAAAGCATGGGGCTAGAACATCAATCAATGTGGGAGTTTGCTTTACAATGCGTTCTGAGGTTGAAATAAACCCTCTTAAAGGAAGCATTCATTTCCTTTGCCCCATTCTTTCCTTCTCTCAGCATCTCTTATACTGTCAGTGCCCCTGCTCTGGGACTTTGGGCTTTTCTTAAACACGGGAAAGATGTTTTGCTGCAGCATTTCCAAAGACAGCTTTTCTGGGTTACCATCTGAATTCCAAAACTTCTACCAGCAGTTTCTTATGAAGACCCCCAGAGGTAGGTTGGGAACTTTGGGAGCTGATGAAGCTGGTACCCACAGAGGCTTTGTGACTCACACAAGTAAACTGGCATTCCAGCCCAAATGAGAACTCATGTTTTTGACTTTTCAGTGTGCAGCTCATCAATTTTGACAGCTTCCCTTTTATACAAATGGGATTTTTTTTGCATAAAAGACATTAAGAACACATTCATAAATCAGCTTGTATGAGCTATAAATATGAACTATGTGTGTGTAAGACCTAGGGAATATGGAAGCTTAGGAAAGAGCTGTCCCAAGGAGAGATGTCAGGCAGGCAGGCCCTGCTCTGCTCTGCCTTGTTCTTCCCAGCCCGGCTTGACTGCTGTGCAGCCAGGAGCCCCGACCACCTCAGAGCAGGTGTCTGTTCATAGGAGCCCAGTGCCCACAGCTGTGGGTGAATGATGCTGCCTTCTACAACGACCCAGCCCAGGAAGCTGGCTGACTCATTTCTTTCATAGCTGGGAACAGCTCAACGACTCTGCCTAAATACATGTGATGTTCATCATTCGACTGGATTTCCTGGTCAGTTCCAATTTCCATGGAGCTGATTGGAGCCACTAGAACATTCGAAAGTGTCGCACCGTGGCTTTGACATCATTGTGCTCGTCCTACCTTGCCTGAATTTAAGATTTCCCCTCCCCTAGACATGCATATTCAATGGGACACATTTGTGTATATACTTGATTAAAATAAAAAACAGTGCACTTTAAAACTCCATGTAAAAAATACTGCTTTTCTGCTGTGCGAGTGTGCCCCGGCCCACTTGCCTGCTACACCGGGCTGCAAAGGCAGCATCAGGAGGAATTCAAGGTTGAAGCTGACCCCAACACAGCCTGCACCCTGCACCTCACACCCAACTCTGAAGCCCATGTAGTTTGGGGCCTTGGCCTAAGGCAAAAACTACCAAGCATCCTAAGCAGAATTGCACAAGGGAATGTATGTGCATATTTGACATAGCTTCTCTTGAATGGCGGCCCCCTGGCTATGACCCCTGCCCTCTCTAAGGGTGAGGGAGGAGTCAAAAAAGGAGCTTTTTGTTCCTGGCTGCCAGTTCTGCATCTCCTATAGCCCCAGGGACCTGCCCTGCTCCGCGTGGGCCTGCAGAAGCTCTGCAATTTCCACATGAGCCGGTGACTTCAGGACAATGGACAAAGCTGTGTGGCCAGCCTGCAGGGGAGAGAGAGAAAAAGAAATTTCATCCTATCTGCCTCCTGTTCCAGTGACGGGTGGGGCTCCAGAGACTCCAGGAGGGGATGTGACTCAAATGGCTTGGGGACCATGAGACAGGAGGGCCCCTTGCTCAGAAGCAGCACTCACTCTTGGGGAAGTCTTTGTCAGTGGAAAAAGAGGCGCGGTCAACAGCCAGACTTTTAACACTTAAAAAATTGGAAAACATAGGAAAAAAAAAGTCTTTCTTATCCTGTTGTGTGGATCTAAGTGAACATTAGCATTTGGTGTTTCTCTCATCTTTTCTCTTTATTTTTTAATATTTTATTGATAGATGAATCTGGTCAATCGGGAGAAAGCACCAGAACACAGACAAAACTCTGGCAGGATAGAGTTTATTAGCAGAGGAAAAATGCACCAGACAATTCCCTTCGGGACAGGGAAGTTATTAGTCTACAGGTTGTGGGCTGGGTGTCTTTATAGGGGGGCTTCAGGGGATGCAGAAGGCAGGAACATTTTTCTTTTTTTTTAAGTTAGGTGGGAGAGAGGGAGCCCAGGGCTTATTAAATAGCTTCTGTTAAAACCGCCCCCTTCCAGCCCCTTCCATCAGCCAGGATCTGGCTTATGGAGTAGAGTCTATACACTGTAAAACTTACCAGGAGGAAATAGCTTGTATCAAGAAAGTTCCTACATTAATGGAATCCAGAGTGCAGGAGCCTGTTTTGCTTCCAAGATCATCAAAAGGGAAGCGGGCTGCCTTTGACCAAAAGGTGCAGAGAGTCTGCTTATCTTGTCTTCCAAGATCATCAAAGGGGAAGGAGGCTGTCTTTGACCAAAAGGTGCAGAGAGTCTGTTTATCTTGTCTTCAAAGACCAGGGTGCTCATTAACTCAGTACCTGAATTCTCAGGGACTTGCAAAACCATGAGGCCCTGTTGGGGAGGGGACTGCTGCAGATCCGAACCCTAATTTTATTTATTTATTTATTTATTTATTTATTTATTTATTTTTTAATCTTTTTGAGACAGGTCTCTCTGTAGCCCCAGCTGTCCTGGAACTCACTATGTAGACCAGGCTGGCCTTGAACTCAGAGATCCACTGCCTCCCGAGTGCTGGGATTAAAGGCATGTGCCACTATGCCCAGCTTATTTATTTTATGTATATATACACGCACGCACACACACACACACACACACACACACACACACACATGTTTTGCCTGCATGTATGTATATATACCATGTGGGTGCAATGCCCTTGGAGGCCAGAAGAGGGTGTCAAAACTGTAGTTATGGAGAGTTGTGAGCTACCATGCGGGTGCTGGGAACTGAACCCAGGTCTTCTGCAAGAGCAGCCTGTGCTCTTAACTGCAGTTTTTCTTGTTCTGTTTTGTTTTGTTTTTAAAAAATTTAAATTTTATTTAAAAATATTTATTTATTTTTATTTTATGTGTATAAGTGTAATGCCTGCATGTAGTGTACCAGTGTTGTGCAATGCCTGTGGAAATCAGAGGAGGGCATCAAATCCCCTGGAACTGGAGTTACAAATAGTTGTTAGACACCACGTGGGTGCTGGGAATCAAATCCAGGTCCTCTGCAAGAGCACTCGGTGCTCTTAACCACTGAGCCATCTCTCCAGTCCAGCTCCCATTTTAGTTTTTTAAAACAGGAATGAAAGCATGTATCAGCCTTGAATCTGATTTTATTTTAACTTACTATGATATGCCAGAAGACTATTCCTATTATTTTGGTTTTCAAAATGTACCAGTTTTCTTTGGGGCTGTTAAAATACCCTGTGGCATATTAGCACTTTCCCTTTTACTGGTCTCTTACATTGTTTCCTAGTGTTCGCTGTCATAAATGTACAGCAAAAAGTATGTTCTCATTTTGTGTGTGGGAGAATGTTCTTGTGTGTGGGTGCATCTGTGTGCACATGCATGGAGAGGTTAGAGGTCAACCTTGGGTGGAGTTCCTTAGGTGCCATCCACCATGTTCACTTTAAGACAGGGACTCACACTAACCTGGAACTTGCCAAGTAGATGAGGTTAGCTGGTCAGTGAGCCCAAGGTATTCCGCTGCCCCCCCCCCCATTAGTATTAGGATTACAAGCAAGTGCCATAATGCCTGACTATTTACGAAGGTTCAGGGGATAGAACTCAGATCCTCATGAGTACTTTCTGGACTAAGCTATCTCCCCAGTCTCTTCCCATTTTTAATTGTTCCCTTGGGACCAGAAGTAGGCTCTCAGCATGAAGGGACATATGTGCATATGAATACCTCCTGGCTTAAAGCCACTGCAGTAGGGTCCTGCCATCCAGAGAAGCTGGACCTGTGGAATTCTTAGGCAGTGCTGTTACTGGCTGTACAGAGATAGAAGGAAGGCCCACACATCTTCGTGCAGGAGGCTGAGCTCCCTGGGGCAATCTGTCTCTTATGAGTGGGCCCAATCCTGCTGCCAGACTTGAAAGCTAAATGGTTTTGAAAACTACACTTTGTTTGGTGATTTACTTGGAGGTAAAATCGGACCAAGGCTATCTCCCTACTGACCCTTATTGTATATTCTGCTGCGTAACTATGAATGGTTGTGATGAGTAGGGGCTCCAAGCTCCCACTGTATTCTCTACTATTCATATGGAAAATGACTTCCTGAAGTGTAGCAGATCTTTCAAAGAAGCAGGTGGAACTTGTTCACATGTAGTTTCAAGCTCTTTGGGTTTTTCCTTTCCCACCAGGATGGAGCCCAGCTGCCACTGGGGCTCCACACTGAGAGAATAGTTAAGCAGGGTGAAGAGCTGGAGATGCACTGGGAGAGAGCAGGAGGCACCTACGGGGATGTGGAGTGTTTGAGGACCCTAATGGGAAAGGCTCCAAGGGAAGAACACTTTCTTGTTTGGAGACGGTCTCATGTAGTCCAGGTTAGCCAAGAACTGGCTGGGGACAAGGATGACCGTGAACTCCTCATCCTCCTGCTTCCACCTGTGCAGTGCTGGGATGTAGTACTAGGGACCAAACCCAGGGCCTCTCAAGTGCTAGGTCAGCATTCCGCCAACTGAGTTATATCCCCTCCTTTGTGTTTTCTTTTCTTTTTAAAAAGTATTCAATTTGCTGGGCATGGGGCACATGGCTTTAATCCCAGCACTTAGGAGGCAGAGGCAGGTGGATCTCTGTGAGTTCAAGGCCAGCCTGGGTTTCAGGCCAGCTGGGGCTACAAGGAGACCCTATCTCAAAAAGACCAAAAAAAATTTTATTTTATTTATTTTTTTAATCTATGTGTATGAGTGTATTGCCTACATGTATGTAAGTGCACCCATATTGTACAATGCCCCCAGAGGTCAGAAGAGGGCACTGGATCCCCTGGAACTGGAGTTAGATGGTTATTAGCCACCATGTGGGTGCTGGGGCCCAAACCTGGGTCCTCTGCAAGAGGACCTTTTGTTTTCTTTTGAGACTGTAACCTTAGCTAGCCTTGAATTTGCTCTGTAGCCCTTCCCTCATTTTTTTTTTTTTTTAGCTCAGTTTGAGACTCGTGGGGTGACTTGAGCAGTCCTAGTCTCTCAGAAGCTCAATTTGGCTTGGTCCCTGCAGTTTCCTGACTGTTGAAAGGGAGACTGTGCAGGCAAAAGTGTTTGGTTCCAGTTGATGAAGACCCCACACAGCCTAAATCATAAGCAGTATTTTCTTATATTGGGCAAGTCAAAGCAAGTTGTAAAGCAGGGGCCCGGAGACATCTCCAAGGGAGAGGTAGGGCAGTGTTCCTCATCCTGTTCTCAGGACTGGTCTTTACCACTCAAAGCTCTTTGTAAACACAGTGTGTAATGACTGCTGCCGTGGGAAAGGGCCATAGAGCCAGTCACAGAGGACATACATTTCCTGACAGAGCCCATCTGGAGGGGACAACTTCCATCTGTGAGCTTCTCAGCTGAAGATATGGGGAGGGACCACCTAGGGAGGAGGGTTGTGCAAATGCAAATGCATCCTGCAGAGCCCTGGGGAGGAAGGGCCAGTCCGTAGGGGCAAGTCCCTGCAGTTAGGCTGGGCCTGGTGAGCTGTGCTCAACACTGTAGGCTGGATATGGGCCGTGAAGAGTTGAGCAGCCAGCATGTGTACATGTACATGTACATGTGTGTGTGTGTGTGTGTGTGTGTGTGTGTGTGTGTGTTGGGGTGGGGACATCTTTCAATATGACAAGAACTCACCATGAACCCACTATATATCATCAAGGGAGCAAGGCATAGTCTCTCTCTTCACAAGTTTCCCATTTGATGGATGCTCTGAAACATCTTCCCAAATAAGGTCTTCCCAGAGAGAAACTCAAAGTTGGTGCTTAGGCCTCACTACTATGACTCTGTAGAAAGGGCAGTAGTCACTAACCCCCTCCCCAATACACACACACTTGCCTTCTAAACTTAGGAAAGCACCTGGAGTTCTCTGTATTTATACTGAACTATACTGACGAGAAGAAACAATTTCAGAACATGAATTCTCTCCAGGGGAATCCCCGGAAAACTCACGCTGTGGACATCTAAGCCTCCAAAGAGTGTGACTGCTTGGAATGACACAGTATTGTGATGAAGGCTGGCATATCTTATAAACAAGAGTACCAGGTGCCAACCTTGGTACTTGGAGGGATCTCATCAAAAATCATCTTCTCACCCTGTTGCTGGAGACACTGCTCACCCAAGTCACCCTGGGAAGTTAAAGAATGTGAATCCTCAGTTGGCCTGGCATGCCATGTGATTGGACCCTGGATGACTCACCTTTCTGTGGGCCTGCTGCAGGCTCTGCGTAGGACCATGTGTCTGGTACTGAGTCCCTTTGCCCTGTCTGTAGTGGCTTGACCCTCACTGCTGAGCTTGCTCTTCCTGGTCCAGCCCCTGACCTGGACTGATTGTTTAAACTCACATGGATTTCAGTACTTACCTCAAGCAAGGTTTCTCAACTGTTGCACTGCTGACATGCTGGGTCTGATCATTCTTTTCTGTTGTTGTTTTTAAAGATTTATTTTTTAAGCTTATGTGGTGGTATATAACTTTGATCCCAGCATTCAGGAGGTAGAGGCAGGAGGATCTCTGTGAGATTGAGGCCAGCCTGATCTACATAGTGAGTTCTAGGCCAGCTGGGGCTACAGGGAGACCTAGTCTCAACCCTCCCCCAAAAGATTTATTTTTTTAAATTATATGTGTGTGTGCCTGTGTGGGGGTTTATGTCCATGTGAGTGCAGGTACCCTGGTGTCCAGAAGAGGGTGCCAGATACCCTAGAGCTGGAGTTAAAGTTGTGATCCATTTGACACAAAGAGCAGTATATGCTCTTAACCACTGAGTCATCTCTCCAGTCGTGGTCCAGTTAATTCTTAATTCTCTGCTATGCCTCACCCTGCCTTTACCCCCTAGATGCCAGGGACACTACCTCCCCTGTGTTTTGTGACAAAAAATCATCTCCAGACATTGTTGAGTCTCCCCCAGAGGGCAACATCACCCCAACCCCAGGGGACTGAAGCAAGTTCAGCATTCAGCTGGCTTCTCCACTGGGGGCCAGTTTCCCTGCTTTGCTCCCCTGACTCCAGGCCTTCATCCTCCTTACTCCTTACAGACATTGCTCACAAATGCCAAGGTCCCCACCTGTTGCTATGCTTGGGATTTTCTTTAATTGTCAAGGTTCGCTCTCAGTGGTGTCCCTATTAGATGTTAAGTACGGCTTAAGTCATTACAGCATTTAGTGAGCTCATCTTTATATCCATTTTATGGAGGAGCAGAGGCTTACGGTGGTTACTTCATCTATCCAAAAGCACATAGTCCCTAAACTCAGATTCAAACTCATGAACATTAAATTTAAAGTCAGTTCTAACAATTATGCTTGAGCTGTCTAAAGTGCAACAGATCTCTCCCCTTGGCTCTTCCTCCCCTCCAGAAAGCTTTGCAACTCTCTCTTGTGATCACCCTCAGGGCCCAGGAAAGTGCTCATTCACTGCCTAATTATCTTGCCTGACCTGTCTCATGGGTGTCCTTTCTCAAGCCTCTTTCTTCCTAAGTGGACTTGGACCACTGATATGAAGACTTGTTACAGATTAAAGGTGGCCAACAGGGGTCTCCCCAACACAGATTTTCTGTCTCATTACATGTTTTGAAAAGGAGGTCCTTCCTGTTCCCAGCCTTCCCTCATTCCAATTCCATAAAAATGAAGGAGGGTCTGTACTCTCCACTGACCTTAGAAATGGCTTTGTGAGTTCCAGGCCAGCTGGGTTTACAGGGAGACAACTGTCTCAAAAAGATGAAAAAAAAAAAAAAAGAAGAAAGAAAGAAAGAAATGGCTTTATGAAAAGCTGGGGTTTTGGGGACCTGTGATGGGAGGGACTCAGCTTGACTTGTTGATGGCTCAGATGTGGTCTAGAAGGCCCAAGAAGGGGCTCTCTTCCCCTCACTAGACTTTTGTTCCTTTTGAATTGGGGATGTTAAGTACAAAGATGCTTGTTCCTAGCATTAAAATATGATGCCAACATTAAAGACACTGGAGTCAGGCCTGGGCTTGAATCTCTGCTCTGAGAATCAGTAGGCTATAATTCTAAAATACTGGTATAAATTGCTTGCCTCTGTTTCCCTATCAGTAAAAAGCAGGGTGCCTAGTATGCAGCTTGCTGTATTACTGGGCAGATCAGGGGTAATGCATATATGGAGATCAGCTCCCACGAATTCTCTAGAAATGTGACTTACTATAACAAACAATCAGCAACAGGGTCACTTATTGGACCGGCCCCTTAAGTTTAGGAGTCATTCATTCAATTTTTGGTTGAGTCCCTGACTTGTGGCAGGCACTCTGCCAGGTGTGAGGGATTCATCAGCAAACCAGAGTCCTGGCTGTTTCAGTGGGACAGCAAAGGAATGGTGCGGCAGTCACAGGCATAAGTTTAGGAGTGAGTTGGGAGTGTTTACCAGCTGGGTGATTCGGGCATGTACCTAGTCTTTGGATGATTCTGCGTCCACCAGCAAAATGGGAGCAGCAATGGAGATGACCTCACAGGGTTGTCATGGGCTGAATATGCGTTGATCCGTAGTAATGCTTAGTATGATACTTGGCACAGAAAAAGCCCCCACTAGCCCATGAGTGCTGTCTCCTTTCTGATCATCTTACAAAGCTGTTTGAAGTTCCATGTCACTGGCTGTGCAGTATCAAGGACGTGCTTTGATAGAATGGGTCTCTCCACAGAGCGGATCAGTGTCATGGAAGTGCTGTCAGCTTAATGATTACAGAGCTGACTCTAAAAACTGCTCCTTTATCTGGCTGCCCAGCATCTGCCTTGGATGGCAGAGCTGCCTGCCCTAAGCTGATGTCTCAAAGCCACATGCTGCTTAGTCAGATGAAGCTCAGGGCCACTGAGCCTGAGTGTCAGGCCTGGGCACTTTTCCCTAGCACGATGTGATAAATAAAAGGTTAGGGTTGTGGGTTTTCTAGCATTCAGGCTGTAAACGTTTACCATGCATCATCTAATTTAAACCCTACAGTTGCCTTATAGGGTTGACTTGATTGCTACAGCCATACATGGCTTTTTGAACTCTGCTGGCTGGCAGGCACTTTTCAGGACAGGTATTAAATACCTACTAGTTAACTGTAATTCTCACCTTGTCAGTCAGGCCACTGTCACAGGCTGGGTGTGCCAGGAGCAGCCTCACCAGGTCAGCATTGCCTTGGTGACAGGCCAGCATGAGGGCAGTGGATCCATCATGGTCCTGTAGGTTGACATCTGCCTGGCAGCTCAGCAGCGCTTGTATCATATCCTCCCGGTCGTGGCTGACTCCCAGCATCAGCGCAGTCTGGCCTCCCTGCACAGAATCACAGGGATAGGGTGAAGCTGCTGCATGGGCGTGCCCAGCAAGACTTCTCAAGGAAATGACCATGACCAGATCATTCCTCTGCCTGAGGCACAAACTTCTGTTCTCCCATGACACCAGTTAAATCCTATATCCTCTCCAAAGCTCCCTAACTTACCGCTTATATTCCAATTGTCTGTCTCTCTCTTTTCTTTCAAGGGCTGAGAAGCTGTTGACAGCAGGGACAGTGTGTGTATGTGTGTGTGTGTGTGTGTGTGTGTGTGTGTGTGTGTGTGTGATAGAAGACTGAATGCAGGGATCACACACGTTAGACCAGTGTTCTGCTACTGAACCACACCCCAGTCCAGGGACCATTATTTTTGTGTCTGTCTCCCTAATGCTTAGCACTAACTATGTGCAGAGAAGTGTTGAGTAATGGAGCAGGTAGAGGCTGAGGCTTCTGTCTCAAGCCTCCTTTCTCTAGGCAGTCTCTTTGGCCCAGTACCCCTGGTATTCTGTTTAATGACACTCAGAACCCGTTTGCCTCAGTAAGACCTCTGTTTGTAGGCCCCTGTGAGGGATTCTAACCTCTGGCCATGGACAATGTAGTTATCTTTCACATCAGTGGTGGTAGTCATGGGTTAGAATAGGAGAGCAAGGCCGGGTTCTACTTCCACAGTTTAGTGAGTGGCCTTGGCCAGGTTGCTTGCTTTGCTTAAAAAAGAATCTGGGGGCTGGAGAGATGGCTCAGCAGTTAAGAGCACTAGCTGCTCTTGCAGAGAACTGGAGGTTTGATTCCCAGCACCCACATGATGGCTAACAATTGTCTGTAACTCCAGTTCCAAGGGGTTCAATGCCTACTTCTGTCATCTGTGGGCACTGCATGACACAGGTACGCTTAAATACATGCAGGCATAAATAACATTCACACATAAAAGTAATAAATAAATATTTAAGGGGCTGAAGAGATGGCTCAGCAGTTAAGAACACTGGCTGTTCTTGCAGAAGACCTGGGTTCAAATCCCAGAACCTACACTGCAGCTAACAACTGTCCGTAACTTCAGTCCCAGGGGATCCAACAGCCTCTTCTGACTTCCATGGGCATTGCACGACATGGGTGCACTTACCTACATGCAGGCAATACATGCATACACATAAAACAAAAATAATACATGAAATTAAAAAAAAATTAATGAATTTGCATAGCCGGGTATGGTGATACATATCTGTAATCCCAGCCCTCAGGAGGCAAAGGCAGGTGGATCTCTGTGGGTTTGAGGCCATCCCGGTTGACATAGCAAGTTCTAGGGCAGCTAGAGCTACCATGAGATTCTATCTCAAACAAACAAAAATCTTATAATGATTTTCCCTGTATGCTTCGTATAGATTTGTGGGAATCAAATGAAAGAAAGCATATAAGCACAGAAATATGTGGTAGTAATTTTTCTGATTGTAAAGTGACTACTTCTTATTTCCACGGGTCTACATTTTCTTGTAGCCTTCCCACATGACTGTTATATATTGCACTCTTTGTTCTCGTGGGTACACGATCTGTTTTCTCTCCCTCTGGATCCCCTGTGGTTCTGGACAATGTCTTGTGTCAAAAGCACTGAAGACATGTGGCTGATGCAGTGAGACCTGAAGTCTCAGTCACCTTGACTGTGCTTCTCTGCCAAGAGCCCTAGAGCTTAGAGAAAAGACAGGGAATTTGCAGTCAGAAGCCTTCTGGCTCTGCCACCAAGAGTTCTGTGGATGGGTGCAAGGTAACCTCTTTGTACCATCTCTTGATGTGGGAGGATGGAGAAGGTTCACAGTACAACCTGCCTCATGGAATTATGTTGAGACCCAAGTGCCTAGCTGTCAGCTGTCTCTGTCTCTATGAGGCTTAGAGACGGTGCATAGCAGATGCTTAGTATGTGGGTTTGCATTATTAGGTGTCCTCAGTCCCCATTTCTCTATATATTTCCAAAGAAACCTGTTTGGCTTTGGCACTGGGATCACCCAACCTGGAGGTAACCGTTCCTTACTAGGCAACCAGCCCTGAGGTTTCCACCCAGACTTTTCTCCCTAACAATTATTAAAGTGAGGCGACATTGCACATGGCCCTCCTGTCTACCCTCTGCCTGACTCTGGGGCCCTTCCTCCTCACCTTCTTTCTGCTCTAAATCACTACAACTTAATTCAGTGTAGTGATTAATGCAGTTGGTCATTTCCAGAGTGTTACTGTCTGTCAGGCCCTGTACTGACTCTGAAGATAACAAAGACCCATCCTTTGGAGACTCCTGGGTCGCTCCCACCCTGTCTGGCAGCACTGCCTCGCCTCATAAGGGCCCCAGGGGAGCCAAGAACTGCAGCAGCTTCTGATTCTTGGTCTTCCTTTGGTGATGTGGGCAAATCTCTGGCCCTCTTAGAGCACTGGTTTCTCCACTGGAAAGAAGGGGTGGGCTCTGATCATGGTGAGTATCCCCTCTAGCAAGAGGCCAATTTAGAAAAAAATAACCCAACATGTTTATTGGAAGGATAGAATATTATTTAAAGTGAAAATACTGCATGGAGTCTTCTTGAACAGGAGGTGTACACAGATGAAAATTCTTTGACAACCAGAAAGAGATTTTCAGATACCTGAGTTGCCATCAGTAGGAAGCTATTAAATGACAGCAACATAGAATTTTCACACATGATACTTTCCGTGTGTGTGTGTGTAGTGTATGTTCAAGTTGTGTGTGTAGGTGTACAGAGACCAGAGGAGGATGTTGGGGTGTTCTTCTCTAGCTCTCTCTATCTTCTCCCTTTGCTGAGGGCCAGCAAGTTCCAGCAAGCCTCTTGCATCCCAAAGAACTGGGGTTACAGGCATGTGCATGGGCATATCCATCTTTTTCTTTTTTCTCTTTAGTTTTTTTGAGACAGGGTCTCACTACGTAGCCCCAGGTGGCCTGGAACTCACTATGTAGACCAGGTTGCCTTCAAACTCAGAGATCTGTCTGGCCTTTGAAGTGCTTGCATTAGAGCATGTGCCGCCACGCCCAGTGCAGTCCATCTTCTTATGTGAGTACTGGGATTCAAACTCAGGTCCTCATGCTCAAGCAACCACAGAGTCACCTCCCTGGTTCCTGGAAGTTATCAGATGAGCTGTGCAAAGTGACTTGTCATCAGCCATGCTACTGTCTACAGGGAACTTGAAGAAGTGCAGAAGAATGGAGCGAAACAGATTTTGGGGTGCCAATATTCCATGATGTTTCTTGCTTTGGTTTTCCTCTGTAGAGCAGGCTGGCCTGAAACTCACTATATTAGCCACGCTGGCTTTGAACTTGAGGGGGCCCTCCTGCCTCAGCCTCCTGAGGGTTGGAATTACAGGCATGAGTGACCAGGCCCAACTTTGCCTTTCTTTTTTGAAATGTTTTTCGTGGTGCTGGGAATTGAGCTCAAGGCCTTGGGCTTTCTAGGTAAGTGCTCTACCACTGAGCTAAATCTTCAGTCCTTGTTTCGTGCCTTTCTGTACATCTTGTGATTCAGACACTATTGGCATTTTTGCTTTAGATTATCTTTTAAAGGATGTTGATTCAGCAAACAGACTTTGAAGACAGAGACAGTGTCTCCTGAAACAGGTCAGGCTTACTTATTGCCCACTGTAAAAAATTCAGGAGCCAGCACTCAGGAGGCAAAGGCAGGTGGATCTCTGTGAATTCAAGTCCAGCCTGGTCTACATAGTGAGTTCCATGAGTTCCAGGCCAGCTGGAGCTACAGGGAAACCCTGTCTCATAAAGACCAAAAAAAAAAAAAAATTCAGGTTTCCTAAACTCAGAGTTTCTCTCCTATAATGCAACTTCTGTTCTCTCTCTCTCTCTCTCTCTTTCTTTCTCTCTCTCTCTCTCTGCCATAAAGTTGCATCTTACTCCGTTATGTGCTCCTGCCATGATGCTCTGCCTCACCACTGGCAACAAGACAATGGGGCTAAGCAACCATGGACTAAAACCTCTGAAACCATGAGCCAAAACAGCCTTTCTTCCTTATAAGTCCCTGGGAATGACCCAGGGCTTCAAGTGTACTAGACAAGCATACTCTGCCACTAACTACACCTCCTCTTTATAAGTTGACTTATCTCAGATATTTGTTACAATAATGGAAAACCAACCTAGCAATCCACTCCATGCTCAGGTATTTGGCCCTCACACTGCCTTGTGGGAACTAGGTGGCCCAATGCTGATACTGTGGCTCTTGCTATTGAGAAACACAATGACCTTTGTCTCTGGCCCAGAAGTCTCATGTCTTCACCAGCATCTATGACACTGTAGAATGCTAACTTGTTAGCTTTAACCCAGGAAAGAAGCCCAGACTCCTCACAGTTCTTGACTGTTAAACCACCATCTGTGATCACTATAGAGAAAGGATAATAAAATGTATCTATTTGTTCTTGTTGGTGAAAGATGGAAAAGCAACATTTTGAAGAGTCACCACTGTTCCATGTGGAGCCTTGTCAACCTCAAAGCCCTGTTCTCAAACAGAGGAAACCAGGAGCTGGATGGAGACCCCTAGGCCTTCTGACTGCCTTGCAAACATTTGTTACTCACAACATCTTTCTTAGTGTGAACTGAAAACAACTCTTATCTAATCATTCTCTGAAAAGTTCTGCATGATTGGCTTTGCCTTAGTATAAAAAGTTACCAGAGCTTTCCAGAGAAACAAACAGACTTCTTAGGAAGAACATGAGTTCCTGACTCTGGAGGTCACAGTGCTAGGTATCATTGCAAGGAAGTTAGAGACAAGCTGGCACTTTAGAAAAAAAGGGGGTAGACCTTTAAGAGCCCTTCTTACTTGCAGCACAAGGTGACCCAGTAACATGGCAGACTCACAAGTCCTAACTCTCTGGCTATCTTTGTGTAGCACCCCATTGACTCTTGGAAGCAACTGTTCTTCTCAGCCTGGCCTACAACACTGTTCCTGAGAAGTAGGATATGACTTACATGCCCAGAACAGCATCACTTGTTCTGGTTGGTAGGGAGGTAAGGAAAGACAGGAATGGTTTGAGATCTGGTTACTCTAAGGACCAAGGAGGGACATCAGGCAGATTGCTCAGTCTCAACAGAGCTTTACAGTATCTCTCTGGGAAAGAGGAGGCCTGGGAAGTGGGGATTGTTGTCACCCTGGGAGTGACTGGTTAAGAGTGCCTGTCTACCTGGCTACCCACACTATCTCCATTAGTCTGATAGAGACTCATAACTGTATAAAAAGGTTTTTGGAAGAGAAGAGACAAGTGAAAACTTTAAAGTACTGGGCCTCCAAAGACCATCCTGTTCCTTCAAGATCAGGGGAGTAAACGACAAAGACTTTCCTAGACCATCCAACTAGAATTTGCCCAGTTTTAGTTTGGAACATAAATCGGATGCTCAATGATCTCTGTGCCAGCCTGTCCAGGTCTCAAGAGCCTTTAAGCAAGATCAAATATGTGGGCTTTGAATAGAAGTTGTTTGGAGGCCCTAGTGTTCTGGAGTGAAAACTCTCCATGGATCTGTATGGAATTTCTCACCCTACTAGCAGAATAAAACTGGAAGGTGCCTTACATCTATCAGTGAGAGACCATGCGCACCCCACCTACCTGAGTAGCTTGGATGTTTACATTTCCTTCTCGTAAGAGCTTCCAGACGACAGCCATGTCTTCTTTTGTCTCCGCAGAAGCCAAGGGAGTGATCATCACAGCAGTATAGCCAGCTTTGTTCTGATGATCCACATTGCAGACACCTGCAAGGGATGCAATGGATGCTGCGAAAGATCCAGGGCATGGAAGCCAGACTACACTTCAGCTGTTCAGCAGGACACTGCCTGCTGGCTAAAGTGCCTAGAATAGCGTTTCCAGTATAGAGTCACTGACTTACAGTTTTAGCAGCCTTTGGAACTGGCTACTTTTCACTACAAGTTTTCTGAGGATGTCTAGCAAGGGAGGAGCACAAAAGGGCCAGAGACAGCCAAGGGTCAATGATCATGATTTTATATCCTAACTCTGAGCCCAAGATAGTATCCCCAGATGAGGACATAGAAGGCCAGAGAAGTCACAAAAACTATCCTTGTGAAGGATAGGTGGGACACAGACTCAAGACTACCCAGCCCTGGAGCCCATCCTTCTTCCAGCCACATACTACCTACATGTGTGCACCGTAGGTCTCACTCTCTCTAGCTCATGTTATGTGGAACTCCAGCTGATGGCTGGATCTGTAGGTCCTTCTCAACAGCTACCGTCTTCCATGCCATGAACCAGGGGCATTAAAAACTGCTACAGGATAAACATGGGACAGCTTGAGAGGGAATTTAAAAACTCCCTAATTCTCTCCGAGAACAATTAAGAGTATACTTTTTGGGGCTGGAAAGATGGCTCAATGGTTAAGGACACTGGTTGCTCTTGCAAAGGACCGGATTCTGTTCCCAGTACCCACATGGTGGCTAGCAACTGTCCATAACTCCAGTTGCAGGGGATCTGACGCCCTCTTCTGACCTTTGTGAGCATTGCATGACACAGGTACACTTACATGCATGCAAACAACACATAAGCCAAAAATAATAAATAAAAATATTTTTAAAAAAGAGTGTACCTTTCATGATAGAATGAAAATCTGGCATTTTTTAAAAAATTATTTTTATTTTATGTGTATGCATGTATTGCCTGCATGTAGGTAAGTGCACCCGTGCCATGCAATGCCCGCGGAGGACAGAAGAGGCTGTCAGGTCCCCTGGAACTGGAGTTACAGACAGTTGTTAGCTGCCATGTGGGTGCTGGGACCGGGTCTTCTGCAAGAACAGCCAGTGTTCTTAACCGCTGAGCCATCTCTCCAGCCCCAATCTGGCATATTTTTAAGATGAAGCAGTAAATGAGAACTTAAAAGAACTTCTGCACTGTAGCCCCAGGGATACGCAATCATGTCCCATTGCACAAAAGGAGAGGTGAGGGTTATCCCACACAGACTGAGGCCTGAGATCCAAATGAACCTACTCCGGAAGAGTTTTGGGTGGAAACTTAAGCTGTCTTGCGCTGTTGCTCATTGCAGAAGACTGTGCAGTGCTTCTGGGCAATAATAAAACTATCGCAGTAGAGACAGCATTTCTTGCTATAGTCTCTTCTGTGAAAACGGATCAATGAATGGACCTACCTTCTGGGGTTATTATGAAACTTATGGCAAATATAGATAAATCACTGAGAACAGTGCCAGGCACTTAGCAAACACCAGAGAACACTGACTGCCATTACTATTACTATTCAGAATGGGATCTTTATGAAAAGATATCAATTAGGGCCACTTACAAGTCCCATGGAAAAGAAAAACAACATTTATTTGATATTCCCTCTTTCTAACCAAAGAATGTTTCGGAAATGTGCCATAGGCACACGAGAGGTCAGTGGCTACAGAAAACCCAGTCTGGCTCATTTACCAGTAATTTTCTCTCCTGAGCCCCCCAACCACTGTCCTGACAGAAGCTTAGCAGTAGCTCTGTGCGTCATAGCTCTGAGCAGATGCCTGTGCTGCCTTGTTAATAACATTATAATTTTTATCCCTGATCATTTTATGTTTGCTTTACAACGTGCAAATGATCCTCAGGTTACCAGTTCTTGTATCTCTTTAGAAACATGATGTCTAACATATTAGAGGGAGGTTTCATTTCTCCCTAGGGTTCAGGAGGGGAATGAAGACCCACACTCTTACAGAAGCTCCTTCTGAGCAGCGCCTGATGACCAAGTCAACCACCCACGGAGGGAAGAGAGACAAGGCTCTCAACAAACCAGACTCCCACTCAACAAGTCACAGTGGCGAAACAAAAGACTCATCACTATGGCCTGCCTGCCAGAGGAGTACTTGTGACTTTCCCCTTAATCATGACACACCTCTGTGCACCCCTAACAGTCACATGCTTTCTAAGTGTGTCACAACTGCCTCTGAAGGGAGCCTAGGTTTGGGGAATGTGACAGATCTGTCATCAACACCTCTTCCACTGAAACTGGGAAAGAATGTATGTTCAACCCATTCTCTATAGCCTTCCTTCACACTCTCTACTTATGTTAGCAGTTTCAGCATGTCAAAGGTGAAGTGTCCCAAAAACCTTTAAGATGGATGAGTATTATCTAGACTCTCAGTCAACAGCAGCAGGAATTTGTAACATCTGGCTGTCCAATCTCTACACTGCCCCAGCCCAACTAGCAGTGGAGGGAGACTACAAATCTGTGAGCTACTTAAAGACAAGGGCTATATGCTTGTATTTTCTCATCTTTGGAGTCTTTGTGAATAGTACAGGTGCTTTCAAAGCCTCACAGTATCCCTCAAACCTACTGTGGGGCAGCAGAGATAGTTAGATCTTGGTTGGAATTCTGGCTCAGCTACTTATGGTTCTATGACCTTAACCCTGTTAAGAACATCTGAGTCTCAGTTTTCTCACTTGGAAGATGCAATTGGTTTCTGTTCTACAGTCCCTGCAAGGTTTGTATGTGGTGGTGTGTATATAACCTCACCTAGCTCAGTGTCTAGGACAGACATTCAAAGAGCTGTAGCTGTTGTCACAATGTCAAAATGCACCAGCGACTTCGCTGCTCATACTCTGGTGCCCGTGGATTTGAGATCTGAATTTTTTTTTTCTTTTTTTTTTCTTTTGGTCTTTTGTTGAGACAGGGTCTCCCTGTAGCCCCAGCTGTCCTGGAACTCGCTATGTAGACTAGACTGGCCTTGAACTCACAGAGATCCTCCTGCCTCTGCCTCCCAAGTACTGGGATTAAAGGCGTGTGCCACCATGCCCGGCTGTTTTTTTTTTTCAATATTTTATTCATTATATTTAAAAATTTTATGTATATGAGTATACTGCCTGAATGCATGTAAGTGCACCCATATTGTGCAATGCCCACGGAGGTCAGAAGAGGGCATCTGATTCCCCAGGAACTGGAGTTACTGAGGGTGGTTAGCCACCATGTGGGTGCTGGGAATTGAACCCAGTCCTCTGCAAAAGAAGCCAGTGCTCTTAACCGCTGTGTCATCTCTCCAGCCCATTTTGAATTTTTGAGATGGGGCTTGGAATTCACTATGTAGTCTTGAATTTGTGTCTCAGGTGCCAGGATCATAGGTATGGCCCACCATGAGCCTGGAAAACAGAACAGAGGCACACTTCCCTGTACAATGTCCCACAAGCAGTTAAGTTCATCAACCATTCTGAATGTAGCTGTGAACCCATGAAGAAGTGAAGTCAGTCATATTGGCTCAATGTCAGAACTGGAATTTAATTCTTTGATGACGTTAGTATCAGAAAGAACTTTAAGCTGCCATTGTATATGTCACCTATGCTGTTCAGGGGAGGAACCTCAAGTCTATTTAACAGAATTGTGGAGAATTAGAAGCTCACTGGGATTTAACCAACCTCCCAGGAGTCATCTATCACTCATTCATTTAACAGATAGATTCACTCATCACTGCTATGAACTAAGAACTGGTTGCTGGGGATGCTTAAGGAATGGGAGTGACAAGAGCCCCTTTTGACAGAGTTAACAGTCTGTTGAGTGAAAGTGACAAGCAAAGATCAGCGAAAAAAAGAAATAGGGGGCTGGAGAGATGGCTCAGTGGTGAAGAGCTCATACTGTTCTTGAAGAGGAATCTTGCAGTTCCCAGCATTCATGCTGGGTGGCTCACACCCATGTGTGACTCCAGCTCCAAGGGGATCTGATGCCTCATGTACACATACCCACATACAGATACAGATACATCATGAAAAATAATAAGACAAATAAATCTTTAGGGGGCTGGAAAGGTGGCTCAGTGGAGAAGAGCACTGACTGCTCTTACAGAGGACCCAGGTTCAGTTTCCAGCAGATAACAAACAACCATATGGGATCTAGTTCCAGGGGATCTGATACCCTCTTCTTGCCTCCAAGGGCACTGCACAAACATGGTACAGGCAAAACATTCATACAAGTAAAATATAAATAAATTTAAAATATTTTTATCTTTAAATTTTATTTTTAAAATTATGTATATACGCGTGCGTCTGTGTGTGGGCATATGCATGCGTGCAGGTGCCTGTAGAGGCCAAAGGTGTTGAATACTCCAGAAGCTGGAGTTACAGGCAATTGTGAGCCACCCAACATGGGTGCTGGGAACTGAACTGAGGCCCTCTGTATACGCTCTGAACTGCTAAGCCATCTTTCCAGCCCATATCCTTTTTTTTTTTTTTTTTCAAAAAAAGAAATAAATAGGTGCCTGGTGTGGTGGTGCACAACTTTAATCCCAGCACTCAGGAGGCAGAGGCGGACAGATCTCTGAGTTCAAGGCCAAGCCTGGTCTACATAGTGAGTTCCAGGCCAGCTGGGGCTACAGGGAAACCCTGTCTCAAAAAGACCAAAAAAAAAGTGTTCCCCTAGGGTGGGAGATGGGGGTGGGTCACCACTAGATAAAATCACTGCAAGAGCAGTCAGTGCTCTTAACTGCTGAGCCATCTCTCCAGCCCCTGGATCAGGAATTCTTCATAGCCTTCTGTACACTTCCATCTGGATGAACGTAAAGCCCACGCAACATCAATGCTGCTTTCCCCACACTTGCTTCTCCTTTTGTCGTACCGTGTTCTCAGTCATCCAAGCCTGGCAAAGGGCACCAACTTTCCTTGTACCTCACAGCCAGCTGGTTTCTTTCAGTTTTCTAGTTTGACCATCTCCACCTATCACAAGCCCCTGCCCCATGCTCTCGGTGGGCCCCTGCAATACTGTCTGGTCTGACTGCCACCTCCTCTCCTACTCTTTCCTTTAATCTACTCCATGAGGTCACACTTCCTGGAGGACTCCCTGGCAATGTGCTCCCTACATAAAAACCATCTCAGCTTCCCAGTGCCTTCTAAACGGTTCAACTGCATCAGTTTGGCATCCAGGGTCCTGCGTGTGTGCCTTCAGCTTACCTTCCCAGCCTTATTCATCTGCGACTCAAACTAGGAGTCTTCTGGTCCCAGGCAGCTTTTCTTTCCTCATGCCCCATGATAGCTTCCTCTTCTGGGGAATTTCTCAGCTCATGGAACCACCTGCTCCAGGCACCTTTCCCTCTCCCTGAACTGGACACGATCTCATTTCTGTATCTTGAAATCACGTCTGGATCTCTCTTTGCTGAACCATCATCCTGCCCCACTCTGATGTTTAAGCTATAAGCTTCTGGGAAACAGGCTGACATCTGGCTCACCTTTGTACCCCTGATCCTAGCAGTATGGAAGTTATATTCAATAGATATCTGATGAATGACACATGAGTCAAATTGGTCAATTGGAGCCACGGCTTTTGTTAAACACTATCTTATGAAGACAAGAGAGAGGCATTTCCTAAGACAGTATGGTACAGCTCTGGATTTGGACAGACCAAATGCAAAATTCTGCTCTGAGAAAGTCCTGTATCTACAGTCCTCATTTTCCTTAGCTGCAACATGACAATGATAGTACTGATGACTTCATAGGAGTGTTGTGAAGAAAAAAATGACAGAATATAGGCAATGAGTACCAAGATTGGAATGATGCAGTGATTAGCACAGTCCCTATGGAAGGGTGATGTGCAAACTTGTGAAGAGTTCCATATTTTTAAAAAGCCCAATAGTCTAGTCCAGTTCTTGGGAGGAAAGAAGAATGCATAATGGTGAAGAAATAAGTGTGATACAAGAATATCCCTTACTGTAATCCTAGCTACTCAAGAGGCTGAGGCAGGAGGATTGCTTGGAGCCCAGGAATTCAGGGATGGCCTGGGCAAATAGTAAGAGCCCATCTTATAGAAGCAAAGAGGGGCCCTTCAAGGATGGCCACAGACTGTAAAAACCATTTCTGACCTGTGTCCAGCAGCAGCTTCACAATGGCAAAGTTGGAGTGGGACACACTATAGTGAAGGGCTGTGTTCCCACTGCGATCAGCCAAGTTGACAAGCAGCTTCAGGAGATGTGGGGAGTGAGGCTGAACCTCGAGGAGGTAGGCGGCCACCACAGCAGGGCTAGATAACTTCCGGCTGGACACTCGGAACCACTCTTGACTGATGGTGTTCAAACTTTGCCTCTGAAATGGCAAAAGATTCTAATTACAAGAGGTTCCTTGGCCTGGGTGCCCCAGATGGGGCACCCACTGACACCTAGACGGGCAAGCTTTGGGTATGTCTGCTTTTGTCTCTTCACTTCCCTTAAGTTCTTCTCTGGAATATCCGGAATGGCAGGGCCAAGAATGCAGCAACACACTTGGCACCTGTGTGATCACATTGTGTCCAATGTAGGTGGAAAGGAGGATGGAAGAACTCATTTCCAGGAACAGAGCACTTTCCCAGTGACAGTGTGGACCTATGGCAAGTGTAGATATACTCTATATACTATATACACACAATTCTTAAGACCCTTCCTTTCATGCACACACAGTTAGCCCATGTTGACTTGCCCCAGACTCCACCAGGGCTCCTGCCTGTTTTGTCAACATTGCATAATTGGAAAAATGCTGAGACAAACAACACACCCAATTTATGTTGGAAATGAAACCCAAACAGGTGTGTGCGTGTGTGTGTGTGTGTTGTGTATGTACCTTAGCCTTAAAATGTATTTGATCCCTCAGAGTAAAATGTCTAGAAATCCATAGCATTATCCTGTTATTTATAAGATTGGCTCCTAAGCAACCATGTACAGGAAGAGCACTGAGTGGAAGACATCAGTTCTGTGTCTGGCAAGACCAAGTGTTTAGGCCACACACTTAGACTGTTTACTTAAAGGGGAGGAGATGCTGTTGGGGTATGATTACTATAAACAATTTCATGCTCATTCTGGAAGGAGCACCAGGTTTAGTCATTAAATCTATATGACCACATGTAAGGCCTGGCTCAGCTGTGTGACCATATACCTTCCTTGAAACTTACTTGTCCCTTACAAAATGGGGCTGGTTCCTTTGTTTCCAGGGCTCTACAGGGTGAGATCATTGTATAACCTGCTTTCTCTTTCAGTCAGGAACAAGGTAGTAGAGATGAACGGGATGAGCATCCTATGGTTTAATCTTAATGTAGGAGTGGTACCAGGCTTGCACACACTCAGTCTTTCATCACATTTCCAGAGCAGAAACAGCAGAGTCATTTGTGACCAAAACACTTCTACGTATCAGAATACCTTCTTTACAGAATAAAAAAAATCTGGAGAAGGGCCCTGATATTAAGGAGCATAGTGGTAGATTTTAAATGGAGAGCTAAAGTTGACAGAATGCTTGCTTACTATGCATGAAGCCCTGGGTTCTATTCCTAGCACGATATAAAACTAGGCATAGTGGCAGGTGGAGGCAGGAGGATCAGAAGTTCAAGGTCATCCTTGGCAATATAATGAGTTTGAAGTCAGCCTGGGCTACACGAGACCCTGTCTCAAAATGAATGAATGACTCGCTAAGAACGGAACTGAATTCTTTCATTTATTTAAGTATCAGGAGTTTTCATCAAGACCCATCTCACACATTGATGTTTTAACAACTGGGAACTGCTATTTGCCAAATTAGCTAGGATAAAATAACACAGTTGGGTTGGGTGAGTAACACACATTGCTGAACTGATCATTTTTATTCTCTGGGCTCTTCTGCTGAGGAAGCAAATGGGTTTTGAAAGTGCTCCACATTGGGTCTGACAGCTGTCTCCTGGCTCGGCTCAGTAGTTCTTGATTAAAAATAGACCTAATCATTGGATATGAGGATGGGAAATATCGGGAGATAGTTTTCTTAGTTTTGGTCTCTTGACCCATCAATACATTTTAAGAAAAGTGGCAATATGGTAGAATTAAATGTCAGGGCTTGAGGGTGATGGGGACGTGCTGCCCACCACTGTCATTTCATTGATGAAGAATTCAGGCTCTGAGCATTGAACTAACTGCCTTCAGACGAGGTCCTGGGACTAAAACCCATGGTTCCATTCCACTTGCCTTTTCTACTTTATCCATACTTCTGTTCAGCTGCAAGTCACTTTTAAGCCTTAACTACAGAGTTTGGTGGTAAGTACCCCTGGGTCCCTGGCTTGCTTTCTTTTGTGTACTAATCCTTCCACTTCCTCAGCATAACCCATCTCCTGAGGTAGCAATATTTAGGTAAATAAAGCACAGGACCCTCAGAGGAAGAGGTGGTTCAGTATGCACGGCATACTCCTGCCTCAGGCAAGGGACCAAAGTTGCTATCGAAAATCTCCATGTGACCATAGAAAATCAGAGTACCAGGAGCTGGTCGGCGGTGGTCCTGATTTCCGGCAGGTGTTGGCTCAATGCTTGGCATGCATTAAGAAATTCTTCTGAGGGTTTACACCTAAAGAAAATAAAGGGATTTATATAATCATTCTCTATGTTGCTAGAAAAGATGTTGTCTGTTCATTGTCTTGTCTCAGCAGCTCAAACATCCAAACTGAGCAACCACTCCAGGATGTGCGACACTCCTCAGAAGTAGGTGTGGTCAGTCCTGGAAATATGGCTCAGCTTCTGAGCTCTCCTGAAGGGCAAGCTGTCTTTTCATGCTGCTTTTGTCAGGAGCTGGAGCAGATGAGGCAGCTGTTGGGGCCATGGCCCAATCAATGGCAGTTACTGTCATGCTAGGAAGGAGGACTGCCAAAGACCCCAATCAATAACCTTCAGGTTATTCCTCCATGAAAGACACCATCAACATCAACAGCAACCATGAAACTAGAGGCTATGAGCCTGATGTGTCCTAGTGACAAGTACTTGTCTTGCTGCTGTGAAGACGTAGTTTTGCATGGAGGCCTCAGTGGGACTTAATGGTGTGGCCTGCAAGGCTTCACTCAGTACCACAGTTTTCTTGTGCTGCCACAGTGGAGCAGCCCTGGGGCCTACTCTGTTCCTTCAGTGGTCGTGGCTGGGCTGTTTTTACTGTAGCAAGCACCTACTCTGTGCTCAGCATTTACTATATTTCCTCATGCAGTACTAGGTCAAACCTGTGAGGAAACTGAGGTGACTGTAGATTAAAGACTCTGTCAACCAAAGCATGTCTAATGCTGTGTGGCCTCAGCACTTGAGCTATGACAGAAAAATCCGTATAAGAATCAGAAGGCCCCAGGCCCAAATCCTTGCAATGTTGGGGCATCACCTCAGCTCTCAATGCCTTTGTTTCCACATCTGTAAATCTGGGATCACAATAATTTCTATCTTGCAGGGTTGCTAAAAGGATTCCATAAAATAATACTTGTAAAGTCCCTCACATTTCCAGTGCCAGTAAAGAGAGCACTGGCTGTGGGGGTGTATTTCATGGAGGTAGAAGTCACATTTACTTAATTCACTCAGTGACAGGGGCTGGCACAGAACCGACCCTCAATAATCATTGAGTGGGTGGAGACAAACTCATACATGAGCCGGGTGTGGTGGTACACACCTTTAATCCCAGCAGTTGGGAGGCAGAGGCAGGTGGATCTCTGTGAGTTTGAGTCCAGCCTGGTTTACATAGTGAGTTCCAGGCCAGCTTGAGGCTACAGGGAGTCCCTGTCTCAAAGACTAAAAAAAAAACAAAAACAAAAACAAAAAAACCTCATACATGGACAATATGAAAAGGGGAACATACACTCTTTAGAAGAACAGGTGTCCCGTTTATACCCACATGACTTACCTCTCAGCCTTGGGATGGGAGACTTCCTCTCCAGGCCCACTTGTTTGGCCTTCGGTGACACCCTGCCCAGCCTCATAGCTGGGGTGTGTATCCTTGTCTCGTCTGTGCTCCAGGCCCTCACATTTCTTCTCAGTCTCACTGTCAGACAAGTCCTCTTGGGAGCTATCCTCCCCACTGGTCTCCTCACTGGAGGTGGTCTCATAACTGGGGAAAGAAACAAAGGTTACTGGTCTATCCTTCCTGCCCAGGGTAGGTGGCCCCTGTCAATACCAGTGAACCAGGTCAGCCTCGGGTCACACCCTCCACTCTCCTGACAGCCAAGAGTCTACCCTCATACCAGCACAGCACCAGGGGTTTCCTGAATTCCAAGGCTCTGGCTCTGATACTGCAGACTATTTGGGGAGAAAGGATACCTAGCTGCTATTTGCAGCAAACTCGTGAACAGTCCATCCTCTATTTGGCTGAATCAAATCAGGTAACCCAGGCAGGTAATCTTAGGTTCTCACTCAAGCACTTGCTCCTAGAAGTTTAGTGTTAGGTCCAGAGAGGAACCCAAGTCTAGGCTAACATCCCTCACATCTACCTCAAACTCCCTGAACTGCCTGATGAATCTTCTCCTCTCAGTTTACACCTGGCTGGGTGGGCGAACCCCTCCACAAAGGGCTCCGTGTGATTCCTGACCACAACCTGTCTTTTTCAGCTGCAGCCTGACTGAACTACTGCTTCGAGCAGCAAAAATTAGGGCATGGGCCACCAGACTCATGGCCATCCCTCCTGGCACCGATTCTCCTGTTGAGCTCTAAGAGACAACTGAAGTCACTCTAGAGGTCATCGGAAAAACTCCAGGGGGTCATAGAGCAAACTCCAGGGAGACCTACTGATTCCCCTACTCATGTTCAATAGGAGACCCTAACAGAAGATGCTGGTATTAAGATTTGGGTTTTGAGGGCAACAGACCTAGCCACAGGGTGTCAGTGGCCATGGTTTCTAATGAGTTGTCTTGATGGCCCTTGCACAAGGCTGCTATGGAACATTTATTCTTTGTTTTGCTTAAGCCCCAAGCTTTTCCGCTACTGTACTTGGAACAACCTTCAGTGTTTGTGATTTAGGAAGTGGAGGACATACTATACTTAGTGAATAATGCTCATTTTAGGATTTCTTCCATAAAAAGTACTTGGAAGTTCATGCATTAATCCGACAGAAATTTACTAAGCACCTACTATGTGCTAGGCAGCATTTTAAGCATTCTATACCAAAGTTCCTGACTTGAAAGAGCTTATATGCTAGTAGGCAGAGGTAGAGAACAAACATGCAAATACATATTGTATTTAGATATGATAACGACAACAAATAAAACAGGAAGGGGCTATGGCTAAGAATTATGGGAAGAAGAGCTACTTCAAGTGGAACATAGATTCCAGCTGAGCATGGTGGTACACAAGTATAATTCCAGCACTCAGGAGGCTGAGGTGGGAAGACCGACTGTGTGGTCATCCTGGGTTACATAGTCAGACCTTATCTCAAAAACAGATAAGCAGGGGCTAGAGAGAAGGCTCAGTGGTTAAGAGCACTGGCTGCTCTTGCAGAGGACCTGGGTTCAATTCTCAGCACCTACATGGTGGCTGAGAACAACCATCTGTAATTCCAGTTTCAGGGGATCCAACACCCTTTCCTGACCTCTATGGGCATTCCATGATATGGGTGCACTGACACACATGCAGGCAATACATTCATACACATAAAATAAAAATACTTTAAAAAGCATTTAAAAAAATAGATTAGCAAAAAGTATCCTAAAAGAAACACAGGTGCTTAACTTTGAAACCACATCAGAACCGTTGGAGTGTTTAGCATTCTCAGTATGTGGACTGCACACCAGACTAATTGCACCAAAGTCCTCAGGACTGGAATCAGTTTTCAAAGCTCAGTATGTCTCTGGCATGCAGCTATGGTAAGCATCACTGCACTAGAGCTCCAAATACTCAGGGTTTGCCAGGAGAGGATGTTCTGGGCAGGGCAAGCAAAGAGGAAGGGAAGGATGGAAGGTGATGAGGCAGCCATGCCATCAAGTCTCTTCCAGGTCTGAATATAGAGGGTACCATGGGGGCGTTTAAGCTGGGGAATGGTGTGACTACTTTAGGCTTTGACATTAGGCTGATACAACTCCTGTTTTTTGTGTATATGTGAACCAGAGATGTAAACAAAAGGGTTTCTCATCGGGTTACAGGGTTACACAACAAAGTCGAAGGAACAGGTTGTCTTTCATTACTTCTGACATTTTGCTCACAAAATCCTACAATGTCACTCCTTGTTTTCATTTAGTTTCTCTTTGCTGACCTGAATCAGCAACTCCCACTTTTAGGCAGTCTCCTAGACCCACCAGCTGGACCAGGACCCTGTCAGGCCTCCACAGTGTCCTGTACTTCCTTGTCCAAGAGAAATTATCTTGGCCAATCAGCCATTCCTCTTTGCTTATCTCTATTTTATTTTATGTGTATGAGTGCTTTGCCTGCATGTATGTAAGTGCACCATGTGTGTGTCTGGTGCCTGTGGAGGCCAGAAAAGGGCACCCAATTCCCTGGGACTGGAGATACTGATGGTTGTGAGCTACGATGTGAGTGCTAGGAACTGAACCCAGGTCACCTGTAAGAGCAGCAAGTGTTCCTAACTGCTGAGTCATCTCTCTAGCCCCTGCATCTTTATTTAAAAATTACATTTGCTTATTATTTATTTATTTAATTTGTGTGTGTGTGTGTGTGTGCCTGTGCATACATGTGCACCACAGTGCATGTGTGGAGGTCCGAGAACAATCTGAGGGGGTCAGTTCTCTTCTTCCACCATGTGGGTTGGGGAGATTGAACTCAGATCCTCAGGCTTGGTGGCAATCTTGCTGTGTCCTCTTTGTTTCTTGACTTACCTGAGAATTAAAGGCAGCAACTAGGATTTATTTGACTTTAAAAAAGTCCTTGTTACCTAGCATATTGCTAGAATTTAATAAGCATTTGTGAAATGACCAATTTAGAAAGCAGTAGGGTACAACTTAACATATTTAACTGCAGACTGCACACATCCCAGACTATACTGCTTAGTGACGTCATAGATGTCTTTGTGTGGTAGTCTGATGTTTGAACAGTGATCAAAACCCCAAGGATGCCTTTCTCAGAATGTGTTCCTATTGCTAGGTTTCTCATGACTGTATTCTAAATCTAATGCTCAATGTCAAGCCTTGAGAAGGCTTGGTCCACGTTGTATATCAACAGACTAGTTGTTTTTGGATTGATTTGCAGTAAGTCAAAGAAAGAACAAAAAATTAAGTGGATTGATTTGGGAAGGTAGTGGTAGAGTGTTTGCTAGCACGTACAAGACCCTGGTTCAATTCCTGGCACCATAAACAGATAAAACATGAAGTTCAATGAATCAGCAAAGCTTGTACTAGTTTCAGTGTCAGAGGCCCAGATATCCCTCAAACTCCCAGAAGCCACTTGGAGTCCAGGCCCTGGGGGAAAGATTAGGACAAATCATATTAAAAGCAGAAGTTCCAACAGACCAGCACAATTGGCAAGGAGCCAAACATATGCATGAAGTTTTAAAGGGCCATGGAGCTTGATTCCCTGCAGAAGAATGAAAAACAGATGTGTCCCCCAGGAAAAGAGTGCTAAGGACAGCAGAGGGGTAGGTAGCAGGGAAGGCAGTCTGAGCTTCACAAGTGATGCTTACCCACCGTTAACCCCAACAAACTGAAGGTTCTTTTTGGTCCCATTACCTCCTGCACGGAAGCCATAGTCTTTCTTTTTCATTATGGATTTAAGGCTGGTCGACGGGGAGATCTCTAGGCAGACACAACATCACAAGTTAGAATGACCTTGGGGTGGCCAAAGCAGGATTCTTGATTTAAAGGGATACAGGCGTGTGAAGAGGGAGAAAGGGACAGGGGACCAGATAATGCAAATCACATGTTTTCCAGCCTTTAGCTGGAGGCCTTTGTGGTTAATGTTTGTAGAATGGTTCTTGTTCATGACGTCCCTTTGTGTGTGGGTTGACAGAGCAGTTACAGAAGCACTTCTCAGAGAACCAAGTATGAGTGCCAGTATTATCTGTGTCAAGGCTGGGAAGTCTGGGGCAGGGCAGAGCTCAGCTCTTTGGACTTTGGCCTAGCATGCATCTCTGCTCAGGGACGCCTCAGTGGTCCTTCCCGGCTAACAGACAAGTTGCCACTTGTGGCAGGGGTAGTGATGACACTGGACTCGTGACAGACACATGAGTAAGGCCACAAATCTTGTGCTTGTGTTCAACAGCATGGAAGACATTTCCCCACAGGCAAAATTAGAACTAGTAGGAAAGTGAGAAAGTAGCTAACTTGTGACTGAGGCAGGCAGCCGACTTGCATGCTACAAGGCACTGTTCTGTTGAGTTTTTCTCAACAGTGTAGAGTGAGTGTGAAGATTTCTTAGCTGTCCCTGCTTGGCTAAAGGATAATGTCTATATGTCAGCCCCCCTCCCTCCTGTCCTCCCCCTCCCTCTCTCTTCCTTTTTCTCTTTCACTCCAAAAATACTAAATGAACAATTCCAGATATCATTATAACGCTCCTTCAGATTCAGCCTAGAGAAAACCTCTGATATGAGAGGCCAGAAAGGAAGGCAGGAATCGCCAGGCCCAGGAAGCCAGGAAGGGAGGCCCCAGGGGAACCTAAGTCAGTATTATTCTTGGCCTGAGACACAGCCTTTATATGACAGAGATGAGGTGCCCTTTGGGAAGACTTGGTGCTGCAGGCTCAGGGCTTGGCAAGTGGCTTTCCCTCCCTGCCAGGTATCTCTGTGGCCTGTACTATTTAGCTGTATGTGGCTCTGCAGTCAGACCCAACGCTTCAACAAGGACAAGAGTTGAGGTGCTGGCCTCCACTCATATACAGATCAGTTTTATTCCTCTGGGTCTCTGGGTGCTAAAATCCTTTTAAAAACATATTAGTGCAATAAAAACCCTTTGTCCCTACAGTTTGTCATTTATAGGAGAAGGAAGTTTCCTGTCCCAGTCATTAGTATTTACCCAGTGGGGTGGAGGAGGGTGGGGTGGTGGAGAGCTGGGTGGTGGAGGGCTGGGTGGGAGGCTCCTTCTGCTCTGGGGCCTGGGCTGAGTAGGCAGACAGCAACAGGTTGAGGGAGCTGAGCAGCTGGCTCTGGATGCTGCTGAGCTTGGAGGCGGGTTGCTTGATAGCGCTGGCTAGCTCTGGGTACCCATGCTCCAGGCAGCTCCACTGTTCCTGCAGGAGCTCCTGAATCTTTTTCACATACTGTCCAATTGTGACATCTGTCGGAGTACTTGGGGGCCTTTCTGGGTGCTCCTCCCCTGGGAGTTCTGAGTTGGCCTCTTCACTGACCACTGGGGCAGCCACTCGGTTGCTGCTCCATGGAGAGCCTCCTGCTCCCCTGCCTTGGCTTTCAGCTCCCACCAGTGGACCTTGCTCCTGCTCAGAGACCTCTTCCTCGATCCTGAGTTCCATGGAGAGGCAGCTGCATAAGGACGAGGTAAAGACCTGCTCAGGTCCCTTTGGCAGTGACAGCTGGGGTAGTAGCATATGTTCCGCAGGACTCTGATTCCCTTGTGTGCATCTCTCTTGGGACCCTAGGAAATCATTCTCCTCTGCTGTGGACCTCCAGCACTCAGAATCTGTGATGCTCAGCAGGTTGACCCCAATGTTCTTGTCATATAACTCCTTAGGGAGGAGTTTATGAAGGGGATCAGTGTTCACCATGGCGTCAGCCTGGGCCTGAGCGTCACTGGCCTTTTCTTGGCTAAGCTTTTCTTCTAATTGGGCTACAGTGAACTCTAGCTCTTGAATCCTCTGTTCCCTAGCCTTGATCTCCTCTTCCTGCTGCTGGAAGGCAGCTTTGACCTGAACCAGCTCCTCTGTTCTTCCTGACAACTTGTCCTCAAGGTCTGAGACCTGCTGTTTTAGACCGGAGATGCTGTGGGCATCTGTCCCTGCCAGGCCCAGGCTTTCCTCTGTTACTCCGATGCCAATGCTCCTCACGTCCACCTCTATGGGTGGAGGGGGTGGGATCTCGCTAATGTTGAGCTCAATTTCATCAAGGGGGACATCATTCTCAGGGATGGGTGAAGGCAGAGGGGGTGGGCTGGGTGTTGAAGAGCCAGGAGTGAACACCACCTCTGTTTCTCTGGCTTGTTGCTGGTCCACCACATCCTCTAGAACCACAAGTGCATTTTGGACTGAGGAGCTGGGACCTGTTAGAGACAGGTCACTTGGAACCTTCACTTCTCTCTTTGCAGGCTCAGCCCCCTCTGAGACCATCTCTGGAATTGCCGGTCCCAACTCTGCCAACTCCCTCTCTCTTGTTTGTGCTGATAGATGGAAACCTGTGAAGGCTTCTACAGGGGTAAAGGTGCCATCACAGACACCGTCTTCACCCTGGAGCAGAGGGAGGGCAGGAGGCACAGGGGGACCTGAGCTCAGGCTGGGCTTCTCAGAGGCCCTGTTTTGCAGCAAGGTGGCAGGCATGCTGGATGCTCTCAAAAGCTGGGGCCGTCCGCTCCCAACAGTCAGCTCAGCAGTCTCTGGAGCACCAACCTCCAGCTGCCTGGTGGCCTCTGCCAACAGGGCTCTTTTGTGGTAGCTCTGCTCACTAACAACCACTGAGGCCTGGTGGGGATCACCCAGTGGCAGTGACTGGAGTTGCTCCTGGATCCCCAGGGGTACCTTTTTCAGTGCCACAGGGGACCAGTTTTGCTGGGGAAGAGTGGCATGGGGGCGAATTCCATTGTTGGGAAGGCTGAAGTTTCGGGGCAAAGTGCTAAACTTGGCCTGCTTAGCCCTTCTGTGGATAGGAATCCTTTTGATGGTGTTTCCCTTCTCAATGTCATCCACATACTTGAGGAAGTCCAGGTCCAAGTGAAAGCCATATGGGGTCTCCACAGAATAAGGGTGGCTCTTTGGGGGGTCTTTCTCTTCATCCCCCTGAGAGGACTGGTCCTTGGCTAGGAGACATGAGACATAAGAAAGATACACAAAGTTAAAAGGAGGCTGAATGTCTGTGACTTTGACTTCAAGCTACCATGTGAGACTTCTCAGTTCTAGCTCTGTATGATGCTGTAGTGCTCATGGATTTGGTGACTGTGCTGAAATATCATCTAGTCAAATCAGTGTGTATTTAGCCCATGTTTGCTAATGTCAGTGCTTTCTAATTTTTAGTATATCATCTCAGTTGCCACTGTGGAACCCGCCCGCAGACCAGGAAAACAAAATTGTCCGATAGCACTTTTCTGGGTTGAGTCACGCACTGATGAAATGAAGCCTTAACTGGCAGTTATGAGCATAGACGTTTCTGAAGGATGAAATACACAATTTTCTTCGCATTCAAAAAGAAACTGGCATGCCTAAAGTAGGTACTAGTAAATCTTGCAAAAGGCAAAGGTATTGATGAGTTATACCTTCTACATTATTTAAGCTCCTCAGATGCCTGAGCCTTTGGTATATGAAGATCAAAGAGAATGGGAACAGGCAATCATATATAGTCAATGTTCCTCCCCCACAAAAACCTGATCTTCGTTAAGGAAGTGATATTAGATAGCTGAACAGGCTCCAGCAGATAAACTCACACCGAGGGACATCTGGGTACACAAACTTGACTCGATGTGCCTTGACATATATGACAGAATGCATGAAATCCTGTGAGTGGGCTATGGGGGGGGGTTGCAGATAAGGAGGTAGCACTAAATGTGATTAAGGTGTATTATATGAAATGCACAAAAATCCAATAAAGATATATGTAAAAAAACTGCTTAGGGATTAACAAATGTGAGTTCTACGTTCAAATGTAAGGAAATGCGACACTTCTCATGGATCAAAAAAAAAAAGTGGTGAGGGAGGAGAGCCCAAGACTATCAAAAGGGGCAGACATACATCTTTCCAGAGGTATGGGCCTCATGGCTTCTTAGGGGAGCCTGAACTTGGTTGAGGGGGCATGGTGGAGAGAATGTTCTCCATTAAACTACGACATTATCAATCTCTCTGCTGGCTCCCACCAGAGGACACTAGAAATGAGTCAGTCCTTTGATTACTTGAAGGCAGTGGGACTTGCATTCATGGATTCTTTTTCAGGTTAAAGTCTTTGATCCTTCAGTGTTCCTGGGATGATAGTTCTTGTTACCTCTAAGACATTTTATTAAAACATGCTGTGAGAACACTGGGTTCAGAAGAGATTAAGAATACAGATTCTAGTGGAGCATGGTGGTACATCTTTAACCCCAGCACTCAAAGGCTTAGGCAGGAGTTTAAGGTCAAAGCCAGCCTGGGCTATACAGTGAGACTTTATTTCAAAATATGGGTATGGTGGCATATGACTTTAATCCCTGCAATCAAGAGAGAGAGGCCAGTCTGGTCTACATAGAGAGTTCTAGGCCAGCTGGAGCTACAGGGAGACCCTGTCTCAAAAAAGAAAGAAAAACAAACAAAAAAGAATATGGGTTCCAGAGCCCTAGTCTATAGTTTGCTCTGTGACCTTGGGAAGTTACTCAACCTCCCTGTGTCTCATCATCTATAGAGTGGGAATGATAATAAGTAAGGTAAGATTATTGTGAAGCCTAATTAATTATGACTACAGTGTGCTGTAGTACCAGTGTCTGGTACATACTAAACATGTTCAATTATTATAGTTACTATCTTTGTGATGCTCAAAATATAGAGAACTGAGATCCTGCTAATGGAAATCAACTTATGTGGCTCACTACTGGGTATGAAATAGGGGCTGTGCAAATTCTCCAGGACTAATTCATTGCTGGGTTTTAAGGAGTAAGCTCTGGGTACCAAATTATATAACATCAGCAGTTATGTTCACTTATCTCAGCTCCTATTTATTGAGCACCCATGTCAGTCACTAAGCCACATTTTAAGGACACAAAGAGCTGTCAGGAGCCACTCCTACTTTCAAAGGATTTATGATCAAGTGGCAGAGACACTAGCAAATTCAATACAATATGGTAAGAGCAAGTCACAGATACATGCCCACAGAAGCCTTCTTCACTGGCTTACTTTTTACTCTCTCTGGAATTATTTTCTTGGACATGTAAGGCAAATATGCCTTGCTAAGAGAGGAGAGATTTCACAAAAGTGACATAGGACTGGATGTTAAATGAACAAAAAGTTCCAGAACAAGAGGGCAAAAGACTTTGCAGCAGTTTATCTCCCAGATGGCTCCATCAGCTCCTGGCCCCTTTAGACAAGTAAGCTAAGTCTTTAGACAAGACTCCACACAGAAGGGTGGATTCTGTTTCTCCAAGCCTTTGAATCACAAGGCTGACTTGTAATACTCTGACCGAAAGAATATGGCAACAGTGATGCTGAGAGAATTCTAAAGTTGGGTTGTAAGAAGATGGGAAGTTCCCATCAGGGTCTCATAGAATGCTACAGTGTAAGAAATCCAGCTACTCTGAGATTGTCTTGATGTGAAGAAACCTAAACAGGCTTGGAGAGAGGTCATCTGCAGAGGGAGGCAGGAGATGGGGAAGGAGGGAAGGAAGAAGGAAGAGAGAGAGATACCAGGGATGAGGATAAAAGTCACCAGCCAACATCAGACTTCAGTTCCAGGAGGGACCCAGGTAAGGACCATTTGGCTAAATCTGTATCAGTAGTCAACTCTTGTGTCAAGCCACCAAGTTTCAGGGTAGTTTGTGTACAGTAACAGATAGCGGGCTAAGCATTCTCTAGAAAGACGTCAGAGAAAGGACAAAAACACAGAGGTGTGAAATCACACAGCTTGCCGGGACTTAACACAGTTTATATAGCCACAGCTTAAACTGAGGTATGGAAGAGTACAGGGTAAAGAAAATGGGAAACGCAAAGAGTGGTACGCAAGTCAACAAGCTCTGACTTCACTGTGCAGGGAAGGGGGCTCACGGACAGGTTTTAAATAGGGGAGAGGGCTAGTCAGATTTCAGGAAGAGCAGCTTTGCTGTTGTTGGTTTAGTTTGGTTTGGCTGGGTCTCACTTTGTAGTCCAGGCTGGCTCTGAGCTATCAATCTTCCTGCTTGGCCTCTGGAATGCTGGGATTATAGGTGTTGTGACACCCTGCCCAGCTCTAAATGAACATTCTTGCAGATGAATAGAAGAAGGATAAATTGGAGGCCAGGAACCAGTTGGGAGACTAAGATGGTGAAGGTGAGAGAAACTAAAAATAGTGGAGGGAAGGGGACAGGTTTTAAAAAGGCATGAATGATGTGACAACTGAGGGTGACACCTGGGGCAGTGTCCCTTCTTCCAGTGATGCTACATGCCTGCTCTGTGTCTCTATGCTGAGGACGGTGCAGACATCTCTAGAGAACAGGATGAAGCCAACTAGACACGTGGAGGCTGATCTCAAACATGGCACCATGGAGCCTGTGTGCGGCCACTGCTAAATAGAGCAGCAGGCCTGTGGTGACATCACAGCCAGAGGGACCAGGATGAACTGCTACTGCTACACACTGTGGTCCCTGCGGGGCTCCAGGAGTGAGCTGGGCAAGCAGTGAATGTGCCTCTGGCACCCCAAAATCTCCACATAAGCTCCTATCCTCCACCCCCACAACTTTTTTTTTTTTTTTTTTTTTAACTAACTTGCCTCTTTACTCAAAGAGGCACTTTGGCAATTTCAGTAAATGTGAACATTCTGCTATTGTTTTCTGCTAGCCACACTCAGCTATGCTTGGAAGCCCACTCCGAGGCCTTCAGGCTTAGGAAGGACAGGCCATGTCAGAGCGAAGATACCCTGCCTAAAGGTAAGTGAAGGGATTTATGGCCCAGAGGAGAGACTGCACTGTTTATTTGCTTACTGCCCCTATTCGGTAGAAATTTTCCCAGTGGCCTCTGGGAGTACAAATGCATAATAACATCATTAAAAGGCAAAATCATTCAGCAGAGAGCCAAAGGGAGCTGGAGGAGCCTGAGGCTGAGAAGCTATCAAAGGTGAGTGGCATAAGGGGCGTTTTCCTGCTCTCTCTCTCTCTC